GAATGAGGATAATCTGTGCAACCTTCCACTGTACCGGAAAAATGCCAAGTCTTAGGATAGCATTGAAAATAAGTGTAACATTCTTCAGGCCAGCAGTTGACAGCTGCCTCAGAACCTCTGATGTGATTAAATCATAACCTGGCGATTTTTTATATTTCAAGCCATACCGTATCATCAATTCAACCTCCTATTTAAAGTAGAAATCTTACTACAAGAAATGATGATATTTGATAATCTAATTCAGGGTTTCCCAAACTATGTTCCGCAAAACACTAGTTAATTTTTTTTTTCTCATTTTTTTAAATTTTATTTATTATGTGTTAGACTATAAAATAATTCAGGACTACAAAACTTCAGGATTTACGAAGTGTTAAGTTTTAAGAAAAGTTTGAAAAACCTTGATCTAATTATCGAGTAATCAAATAATAAGCGAAGACAGTACATTTTTAAAAATTAACAGCTTGTAGAAGATGTTTGATATACAATATGAATATACAAGTATATTCATTCGAAAGGTCGTAGTTTTATCTTTAATATACATATTTAATAATGTAATTAGTTTGCGTGGTTGTCGAAATAAATGGTGAAAAAAATGATTATAACGCTCGTATTTATTGCTCAAGTTTGACAAGTATGAACGGTTAAATCCACACATTTGAATGTAAGCTCATTGCAAATCCTACTAATTTGCATATTCAATGATATAATTAGATTACGTGGTTATCGAATAATTTAATATAGATAATTTATAGATTATTTCCAATGGTAAATATTAATTAGAAGAAAAAAAATACATAAATAAATACACAGCTTTGTGTTTGTTAATGCAAACGTTAATTTTGAAAATATATCAATGTTACTAGATTTAATTTCAGAAATTGCAATAACGAGTTCTTGCGAATATACCGCAATAAACGCTTCACTAAAAAAATCCGGTCAAACGTTATAACTAATTAACCATTAAGTTCTTAAAAAGAAATCTGATAGCGCTTGCAAAATAGTGTAAAGTTGTTAACGTATATTTTTGATAAAATATTTTAAATTAAACAGTTTAAAAAGTTTTAACAGTTACATTATTTATAAAGAATAAGTTAAATGATTTTCAACTAATATTTTTATTTATTTAATTATACAGTGGAACCTCGCTTAACAAACACCTCGCATAACAAGCATTTCGCTTAACGATTCATTTTGAATTGTAAGAAAAATGACTCGCTTAACGAGCGACGTTTCGCATAACGAGTGCCGATGAGAAGAGAAGTCCCGGATTGCGCGCCTGCTACGTCATTTTTTAAACTTGTGTATTTTTGAATATGTTTCAATATACGTGTAAAAATCCGAAAATTATGGAACGGATTAAACTCGTTAAGCAAGGTTCCACTGTATATTAAGTGTATTATATACTTCCACTATATATTAAGTGTAATGAAATTATTATAAATCCTAAATTTAGGAATTACGACCAGTTTATATCAAATATAATTTTTAAAAAAATACTTTTTTATTATCGTTTTAAGCATTTAATCCATAACTTATTAGTGGAACCAAGATAAATTTGGATGTTGCGAAAAGATAACACAGGAGAATTTCAGTATTAGCAAACCGTTCTTGAAAACGTTTCAAGCTTGAATTAGTTTATTTTAATAGATTTATAAAATTAATCCACATTTATAGATTGTTGCACAATCCTGTATAACAGAGTTTCTCAACATATCGATCGCGATCAAAAATTGTAATGAAATGATAACTGTCACCTACAGTCAAAGATTAACTGTTACATACCTTGGGTCATTGTAAAACTACAAACAAGTATGTTGGGACACGCAACAAAAATGTTTACAAATGCTGTTGTAGAAAATTTAATTATGTGAGGCTCGATATTTTCATCTTTTTTTGTAATAACAATGGTTGCAACATAAATCAAATAATCTACTATTATCTGTTTTTGATTTAATTGAAGGTTTGGTTTTTGTAAAATACGAGCGTCAATCTCTCCTGATAAGTTTTATTACAAAAAAAAAAGTTCAACTAATATGTTAATACATTATAATATCGCCATCCTCTTGGATGTCCACTTGCTTTTCGGGCTCTTTATTGATTAGATACTGCCTGAGGTAGAGGATTCCGGCGCTTGTGGGATAGAGTACCAGAGGTACGAAGAGAATCCTGCAAATTAAACATCTTTTATTTGGGGAAGATCTTCGATAATTTCCTGTAAATTACCAGTAGGAATATCCGAGATTGGATTCTATGGTGCTCATGTCTCCGATTATCGTTTCCAGGATGCAAGCGTTACTAATGATGGTTATATTGTATTCGGCACCCCAGACAATGATGGTCAGAAGGACGGTAACTGCGCCCACTATATTGTAAATCTGCATTCCGTATATGCTGAAGACCGTGTATATAGGATTTCCGGCTGTATTCCAAACGGCTAAAACGGCTGCCGCCAATCCGAACACCGCGGAAACGATCAAGAAGAAGGCGGTGAAGATGAACGATGCGGCGCTAATGAAAGTCCGTTCACCGCCGACATCCTCTGCAGTTTCGAAGATTTGCGTTTTACTTGTAAATTTGATAAATGTGGTGCGTTTACCTCGTAAGATCCTCGTCGCGGGTATGGGTCTGTAATTGCTGCGGAAAACCTGAGGACAATCAGTATCAAATGTAACCTTGTCGTTGTTGTACAGCTTCTGGAGCTCCCACTTTCGATCTTCAGAAGTCGATTTACAAAGCATCGCGCATACGTTGTCCGATATTAGACAGGTCACTGGGAAAGAAAGAAACGATTTGAATAATATCAAAAATTATTATTTTGTATTGCACTTACTGACTATTTCGTGTATCGAAACCGATCCTACATTTCTCTTAAATGATCCCGTGAACAGTCCGTACGTGATTATGTTGTATCCATCTAAAGATCCGTAGGTGCCTTTGGCCTCGATCCAGTTCTGCGTCCCGAAGGATAGAAGACATACGATCGCGCTCAATGCGGACGTCAGGCATGTCAGGAAGATCAAACCTCTTTTAGCTTTCACCATTTTTCAGCTCTCCGGCATCCTTCGACGCACTGAACCTGTTACTGGATCGCCCTTATCTAATCTCCCACATCATTGTGAGATTCCTGATAAGCACGTTGATTTTTATTTCATATTATATTCTGATAATAAATAATTCCAATATAATGTAGAAATAGTCAATTCGATTCCTCGATAAATATTATCGAATTCGCATTACTCATAAGTCATGAATTTTCAATTTTAATACTAAACAATAAACTCATCGTCACAGGCTTTCTATGCAATTATTTAAATAAATAAGGTTTGTTTGCTATGCAATTATAATTATGACTCATTTGATTGTTATATTCTTAGTGTTAATTAAATGGATATTCAGCAAAACCTATGTTTTCGAATTTCCGTACAAAAAACTAAATATTAAATGACTCGGTTACCGAATAGAAATTCGGTTTTTCAACTGTTAAACTGACAACCAATGACGAGAGGTATACGGCGGGAGAGTATAAGTTATATTAGTGATTTTCTAACTTTTTGGTCTGCAACTCCCTTTTAGACATAAAAAGTTTCTGCGACCCCCCCGAAGAATGGGTTCGTGTACAAAAAAAACCAGGATTGATATGTCATTAATTTTTTGTGAATTTGAGAAACACTGATTGATAAAGTGAAGTCAAATTTTCGGTTATATTTTATCTATACTATTTATTTGAAAATATTTATATGGACCAAACGGCCTGGGGACCAAAGACGCTGTGTGGTGGCGTGCCCTCGCAAATTTGAAAAATCGAGTGGCGCCATCTTCAGTGGTCTCTATGCAACCTTAATTCAAACGAAAGCATTGGAAAGCAATATACCAAAACATAACCTAATTATTAGTCTAATAATTAGTGAGTATTGTTAAATAGGATAAGAATATATTAGTAATTTTTATTTATTTCAATACATTATTTTTAGATTTAGTGAGTAGTAGTAAAATAATTAACTAATATATGTGGTGCCGAACTTGTAATAATATAAATGAACATTTAGTTGGCTAAATTTACAGAGAAGCCTGTAATTATTTATGTAATTGTATAATTTGCAATAAATAGTAATATTAGATAATATAAAAGTAAATTATATATCACCTCTAAATTTAATAAATGTGGATGCCACAAGCCATACGCGACAAAACATATAATATAGACAGTAAAATATCACCTTTAAATTTAATAAATGTCGAGAATATGGATGGCACAACCATACGCAACGAAGCTCACACTTTAGACGGTAAATAT